ACCAACATCGAACAATGCTAAAAAGTGTTCCTAATTTTACATGTCTTAAAAACGAAACGAACTATACTACCACAGTAAACAGTTCAGGAGTCTGGAGTCATAGCATATCATGACATCAGCAATCAGCTGACAGGTAACAGCACACAGGCAGAATTTCGTTGACAAGTGCCATTTTGCAGCGGAAAAAACAAGTGCAACTTTTTTGGTTTGTTTCATTTTCTTAAGTCTGGTCCTTGTCAACATCACGGAAGTTTTTTAATAATTAAAGGAAGTATCCAGAAGATTCCATAAGTTTCCAGAAGCATGCAAAAGCTTTGAGAAGTTTCCAGAAAAAGCATCTGGAAGCATCCAGAAGAATCCAGAAACATTCAGAAGCATCCAGACGCATCCAGAAGCATCCAGAAGTATCAAAAAGAAGCATCTAGAATCTTCCAGAACAGGTTCACACAGGTTGATTTTACTATATAAGAAACATGTAAACCGACATGTAATTCAGTCAGTATATGGAAGTCAATCAGTCAGTATTATCAAGACAGTTTATCGAAGTGAGTTTTATCAAAGTGTTTTATCGAAGAACATCAATACAAGCATTGTTGTATCATCACAAGGTAAATGTAACACGGTAAGCCTTGAGAAGCGTGATTATTTATTTTTATTATTTTTATGACTTCAAATGCAAAAATGGCTCCTGACAGTCTTGGATTGAAACTAAGAAAGAAAATTATTGGCAATTACGTAAGTGGAATGTCACAAAAAAATATTTGTGATAAATATCGCGTGAAATAAAGGACCGTATCAAGACTATGTTTCAAATATCGTTCTACGGGGAAAATGGCAGCAGATAAAAAAGGTGGAAGACCGCGTTCGACCACTTCTGGAGAAGATTCTATAATCGTCAGATCCGTCAAAAAAAATCCCTGGATATTATTAGTCGAGATACAAAAGCAATTAGAGCTGCCTGTATCAGACCGAACAATCAGACGACGTGCTGTTGAAGCCGGATTATTTTCTTGACGCCCTGCAAAGAAACCGCTGATTTCACTAAAGAACAAGAAGATAAGACTTCTGTTCGCTCCACCTCAAATTGACTAGAATTTGCAGAAATGGAAAACTGTCCTGTTCAGTGATGAATTGAAGTTCAACATCATTGGGAGCGATGACATTTGCCGTGTACAACGACCGGCCGGAAAACGCCTCGATTTACGTTACTGCTATAAGATTGTGAAACATGATGGAGGCGATGTAATGGTCTGGGGGTGTTTTTCAGCTAACGGTCTAGGTCCAATACATCGAATTGAAAGAATAATGGACCGTTTCATGTATAAAAATATCTTGAAAGATGTTATGCTACATATATATATTGCCAATAAAATGGGTTTTTTAATGGGAATGTATATTGCCAATAAAATGGGTTTTTCAGCAAGACAACGATCCGAAACACACTGCAAAAGAAGTCAAGCATTGGTTTTAAGAAAATTACCTATCGGTGATGGATTGGCCGCCTCAATATCCGAATCTCAACCCTATCGAGAACCTGTGGGAGATTGTCAACCGCAGATTTAATTGTGAAGGTGTTCGCAATAAAGATCAACTGTTTGTAAAATCCAAAAGGCAATTCCACAAAGTTTCATTGATCACCTGATCGAATCTATGCCTCGAAGATGCAAGGCTGTAATCAACAACAAAGGATTCGCCTCAATATATTGATAGCAAAATACAGCTTGGTCAACATTTTGTAGAGTTGCACTTGATTTGTCCAGAAGAAAATCAACTTTTTTTAATACTTTTGATTAATTTATTGATTTTCGTGTACAAATAATGAACTTTGTGATGAATAAAACTTGAAGAACGATGTCTCTAAACAGTTACATAGTTGTTTCTCTAAATTGAAAAAATGCAGCACTTTTTTTAAATAAACTAATTTAGCATTATTTGGTTGCACTTGTTTTGTGAGATACTGTATTTTACGGTTATTGTAAATACGTACGATTGGGGCTTGGTATTAAGACAAATTATTATCTTATCACCAAGTCTTATACTTGCCCTGCCACCTGGTGGGAAATGAGCTAGCAACTAGTGAGCGACTAGCTAGCTTTATAGCGATTTTCAAGCGATTTTTTTTTTCCTGTTTTATATTTTTTAATGTCTTTAACAGCTTTAAAAATTCAATTTTTAGTGTTGAGTCTATTATATTTATGAAGATAATTGAACTTTAAACATTGCGATTTTATAGCAATGTGTCGCTAGCTACATATCGTAGCTTTGTAGCTAGCTACAAATTATCTACAAATCTATAGCTGATTGATAGCTACATATCAAAATTTTTTAGACAACGATTTTATTACGATAGCTACAATAGCCAGTGGGTCTTTAGCTTATTAAGCTAGCTGTCCTCGTAGCCTAATCGCTATCTTTATCTTTACAAATATTGATAGCTTTTCGCTAACTTAAAAAAGCTAGCAATCTTCGTGGCCAAATCGCTGTCTTTATCGTTACGATTATAGCTAGCTATTCGCTAGCCGATTTCCCACCGGGCAGTGTATTTATTTATACTTTTTTAAATTGTAAATGTTATTAAAAGGCAAAATAAACAAACAAAAAAACACCAGTTATTTAGAAGTTATTGAATGGTGTGTTCCAATCATTAGTAGATTGTAAGAGATTTGTTTAGATGGAACCTTTGTTGAGAAAACCATGTTGATTATGAGTTTTTAAGCTATGATAAGTTAAATAATCAATAACATACACATTATTCATTCTTTCCATTAAGCGACAACAAGTGCATGTCAGTGAGATGGGTCTATAAATATTTGGATCAGAGTAGCTTTTATTAAAAATTGAAAATGCGAAAGCTTGGCGCCATTAGTTAGGTAAAGAACTTGACTTAAAGCTGACATTTTATATAAATAAATGTGGAACTCAAAAAAAATTTGAGCCAATTTTTTTAGAAGTATGTTTGGTCATCAGAACAATGTGAACAATAGTTTTAGTTTAAATTAAAGATTTATACACGGCTTATCGTATAAAATTTACAGTTTCAATACCTATTGAATCATTAACATAATTATTAATAAGTGGAGAATAATTTTTATCATTCGTAAAGACACCCCAGTGGGCACCGGACACTATCAAAGTGTTTTTTATTTTAAGTAGTAGTTGACGTCTGCGACAACAAAAATAACAAGATGACTTGAAGTAATAGTTGACGTCTGCGACGTCAACTACTACTTCAAGTCATCTTGTTATTATTATTTTTGTCTTTTAAAGGAGAAATAGTTTTAGAGTTGTTTAGTTTGTTATTAACAAAAATAAAAAATTTGCTGATATTGATTGCTCTAACTATCGGTTGAACACAATGATATTCAGCACCTTTTAATAGTTAATTACTCAAAAACTACTTGACAAATTTGTTTAATCTTTTTGCACACGGAAGCTGTTGTTTTTGATTGTAATTGTAATAAGAATTGGTTATCATTGCTATCGGATTAAAATGAGTTAACAAATATCAAATCGAAAAAAAATTTTAGAAATTTTTCTTCAAAGTCTTTATTGTCACAAATTGACATTTTAAAATTGACCGGTGCTTCTCGATGTTGGATTTCTTTTGCGGCATAATAAACAGACTCAATCCTTTGAAAAAGAAGCTGGAAGTAGAAAAAAGTAAAGATTTAAAGATAAATATAAAGCAAAATCAATCATTCGCTCTATAAAGCCAAATCCATGTCAGTCGCAGAGAGATCTTGCGAGAAAATTTAAATGCAGTCAAGCTGTTTCTACTCATAAAACTTTAAACGCAGATTTATGTGTAAAAAGAATGAAGAAACGCATTTTATCATTTATTAAAAAGCATGAAATGCCCAGTCTATTTTGGCCTTATTTGGCTACAATTCACTAATCCAAAAACTCCTTTGTATCTAAGGAAGCAAATCCTCCGAATTGTCCTAAGCAGCGAGTTATTGAAATTTATTGGTCAATTATAAAAGCATTCTTATTGAAAAGCAGGAAATTAGCTACAAATGAAAATGATTTTAAGAAAAAATGGACAGCCGCTTTAATAAAAGTAACTCAAAGCAAGAGCCTGCAGATGATATCAAGTACTCGCAAAGATATTAGGTTTCTATCTAAGCGTCAGATAAAAATATAAAGAATTATTGAAATAAATAAATCAGCTAACTTTATTTCGTCAAAAATTACAAAAATCTATTAAGTAGTTTTCGCGTAATCAACAATAAAACGGGAATTTCATCGTGTTCAACCAATAGTTTAAGCTCAACTAACATTTGGTAAGTATTCAGTGTTTCTTTACATTTACTAGCGTATTCGTTGTTTGCTTTTTTGCGTGCGATGATTTCAGTACTTGACCACCTTTTCCATGAGAGTGCTTTATCCCAGTGGGCAACGGACCAAAAAAGACGTCTTTTCAACGTTCAAAAAACGTCCAAAACGTGTTTAAGACGTTTAAAAAACTTTTTTTACGTCCGTGCCCACTGGGATGGTATAATATTTTCCCAATAAACCTCGGCTTGTGATTTATTTTTTTAACAAAATAATCTTTGTAATTGGAACAAATCAATTAGTACGATTGCAAAATGGTTGCAGTGAATATTCCAATAATTTTTTTTCTAGGTTTTTGTTTTTTATAATAATCATTTATGGGTATGGATAAAACTATTTTTTTTTTTTTTTTATACATTTGTTATTTTTCTGTACATTTATTTTAATGTAGTAAAACTTTGCAATTGAAAAAAAAGAGTTCTTTGAAACAATAATAACTTATTTGCAAGTAAAAAAAATTTACTAGATATATAAAATAAATATAATACTAAAATAAAATTATAGATACTATTACTATTAACCTTGATTTGACAAAAAAATAAAAAAATAAACGAGGAGGTAAGAAAACGGGGAGATAAAAAAACGGGGAGATACTGTTCTTATTTATTCAAAAGGTTAATTAAAACTGTAAATTTATAAAAATTGAACAAAAAGAAACACTAAAATATGCATACATAAATCCTTAAAAATAAAAATAGAGTGTTAAAGTGTTCTAAACTTTTTTTAATTAAAATTCTCGTTTTTCATGGTGTAGCTTTCGGGATACCTTGTTTCCAATGACGTAGTTATCATGTCTATTGGGGAAATCAACTCATTTTCGTTGTTTGCGGGAACAGGTTTTTCTTTAATAAGCGATTTTCGCCGTAAAATTGTTTTTCTCAAGTTTCTTCCAGTTTTACCAACGTGGTTCATCAAAATCAATTTTGAAGCAAAAAAAGAACAAGGTGAGGCAAGGAATGTTATGTACAAAACGTAGGGAGATGCAGAATGAGAACCTAAGGTTCCTAAAGTGCAAATCAATGACCAAAATGGTATATTTAACGCTTTAGCTAAATAGTAAATATGCTGACGTTTGTTTTTCCAATAATGCTCAAATGAAGCCCATTCATAAAAATATTTCGATCCAGTTAGGTTGCCATACAAATAAATAAAAAGGTTTGCTGTACTTGAAATAAACACTATCATTGAAGCAAAACGTATTGCAATTGAAGAATCACTATCACTGTGTATCCCAAAATGTAATACCATGTTTCCAGCAAGAGGTGTTAGACAACAAAATGATAGAAAAATTTTTTGCAAGTATAACATAATGGAGTTAACAGTCTCAACCAAATGTAGCACAGCATGATTGATATACCATAAAGCTGAAACCAAACAGAATGTGGCAAGAAATGTGAGAAACTCTGAAGTCATATGTTTCAATGAGTATATAAGGCTGTGTCCACTCTTTAAAACTTTATCTGGATTGGGAAACTCTTCCACAGTAATGTCAAGTATAAGAATGCATGCTATAATTGCAATAGCTGCATCGCTCATTATTTCTATTCGTTCTTTAGAAATATTGCCTTTTGAATAATGTTCTAAAAATAAGTTTTTTTCCGATTTTTCAACTTTTACCAATCGTCGGCGAATAAACCAGTAAAATTTGCGAACTGTGGGCATAAATATTAGTAACGCAATAAATGCCCATGAAATGCCAAAATGAACCAAACAAAACGCGCCAGCAATTACTAGTAATATTAAACTAACAACTGGTCTAAAAATCATTATTAAAGTTAATTCTCGAAGATCAGATTTGTCCCATTTTTTTAAGTTAACATGAAGCAGATCTGGTGATTGCGTAGCATACAATATTATTCCAAAATCTAAAATTTGGAGAACACCTAAAGTAACACATGTTGCCAAAACCGAGACTTTTTCTGTAGGATAATGCCCCTGCAATGCCAGCGTAAAAGGAAGAACAGTAGTTACCAACATCTCAAACGTTACTAACGTTAATATAAAGTCATCAACTCGTTTTATCACAATTGCTCGAATGTTCATATTTTCCCATATTGTAAGAATAATCAAAAAACCCAGGAAAAAAATGATAAATTCGCCAGAAATTTTTTCAATGAAATTACTAAGAGATTGGTTTTCCGTTTGTTTTTTTAAATTTCGAATAGGAAGAACTAGAAAAGTTGCGCATGTTGCCATCACAGCGTCTGAATAAGCTAACAACCGGTTAGAAGATGTTATATCCCCTCGATGATAATCATTTGGTAACAAGCTATCCACGTGCTCATCGTAGTGTTCCTCTAAATGCTTATGAATGCTTCTAGTCTTAACAACGTTCTCATCTGTGTTTTTTGTTTCAAATACCATTTTTTCTATAAAAACAGTATTATTATTATTAACTTTTTTCCAATTTACAATAAAACGTGATCTTATAGTAAGATGTTTCTTCATAAAATTCGATCATCATAGTATTATGATATAAAATTCAATAATTTTAGTATTATAATATAAAATTCGATCATCATAGTATTATAACGCAAAATTTGATTATCGATAATAATCAAATTTTGCGTTATAATATAATGATGATCGAATTTTATATTATAATACTATGATGATTCATCATAGTATTATAATATAAAATTCGATCATCATAGTATTGTATATTATAAACATCATAGTATTGTATATTATATACATCATAGTATTGTATATTATATTTTTGTATATTATAATATAAAATTCGATCATCATAATATTATAATATAAAATGATTATCATAAATGAAAATCGTTATATATCTTTTTAGGCGCTATAAATTTTTTTTTTTTACTTTAATATTTTTATTCAAACTATTTTTATGATTTAAAACTGCATTTTTGCATATTTTTTATATTTTTACTTGCACAAAGTTTTATTGAAAACTTAAAATTTTATATTGTTCAACTTATTTTATTATTATTATTATTGTTATTATTGCTATTATTATTATTATTATTATTATTATTATTGCTATTATAATTATTATTGCTATTATTATTATTATTATTATCATCAAAATACAACGACATGGTTGTGAGAAATAGCTATACATAGACTTTTTTTTAGACAATTTATATAGTTGTATATTTATATAGACAATTTATATAGTTGTAAATATGCATTTTTTATAAATTTGTCATAATTGTTTTTAAAAATATTTGCTGTTTTTGAGTTTTGATAGTATACTGGCAGTTGATTCCATTTATTGACTATCCTGTTTGTAAAGAAGTTGTACCGGATATAAGAACTGTTTTGTTCTCTGGTTAGAAAGTTTTGTTGTTAGAAAGTTGTGCCATGATTGTGTTTTTCTTGGGTTAAACTTGAATAAAAGTTTATTTTATTTAGTTCATTTTTATTTTTTTAATTGTTGTATTTGTTCTCCTCTTAAATGTCTTTCTTCCAGTGTTGTCGATTAGACGTTGTTATTACAGAGTGGATTTACCGGTCCCACTTCAAGTTAGAGTTGATGATCACTTCTAAGTCTTCCTCAAGTTCTACTTTTAATAATTGATGCCCTTTTACCTGATAATCAAACTTTTGGTTTGATTTCCCAATATAAATTACTTTACATTTGCTCTCATTCAAAGACATTTCCCATATTTTGCACCATTTTGATATAAGGTTGATATCATTTTGCAAACTGATCGAATCGTTTTTGTCTTTAATAAAATCAATCATTTTTGTGTCATCTACAAAAAGTTTTGGATTATTTTATTTTGATTTGCGATGCCAAGTCAATTATATAAGTTACAAACAGTAATGGCCCAAGAACCGAGCCTTGAGGAACGCCATTAAGCACATAAAGCCAGTCTGAAATGGTGTCTCCTAGTATAACACACTGTTTTCGATCTTTTAAATAGGTAATTATCCAGTTAAGCATCTTACTTACTATTCCATATGCTATTAATTTTTTTAAACAAAGTCGTGTTTGTGGTACTCGATCGAATGCTTTACTGAAGTCTTTAAATATTATATCAACTGGAATGTCGTTGTCGGTAGCTTTTGTAATTAGATCAAAGGGTTCAAGCAAGTTTGTTGGGCATAATTTTCCCTTAACAACGCCGTGTTAACCCTTTGATATTAAACTATTCGTTAAAAGATGTTCTACTATTTTGTCTTTTACGATGCTCTCCATTAGTCTAAAGACCACTGATGTTATGGAACAAGGTCTGTAATTTAAAACATCCGAATGACATCCACTCTTATGAATTGGCGTAACATTTGCTAGTCTCCATAATTCCGGTATTTTACCACTATTAAACGATAACTTAAATAAGAACAGAATTGGACAATGAATCAAAGCAGCTAGACAGTACATGAGGATGAACTCCGTCAACGCCACATGATTTATGTTTGTTTAATTCTCTTAGTTTTTTTTTAACCACTTCTAATTTAAAAGTCTAATACTGATCACCACATTTGACGTTTGTATCGAAAAATTCTGCAAGCTTATATAAATTTTCTCTCTGAAACTTTAGATTAAACATTTCAGCAATTTTTTATTTATTTTTATCAAATTTCCCTCAAGATCCAAAAGAGTTTTAATACCAATTTTGATGTTTCGTTTTTTGTTAATGTAAGAATAAATTATTTTTGGGTTCGATTTTGCGTTTACGGCTAATTTTTTTTCTTACTTAAATACTGCTCGTTTCACCTCCCTTGCTCTTTACTTTTAATTTGAACCAGAGATCTATTTTGGTTTTTGGTTAGCTTTATTAGTTGTTTGATGAACCAATATGGCTGTTTTTGCATGAAATTTAAGTTTTGTTTTTTTATGAATTTTTCACATCCATTGTCGTATATTTCAACAAAGTTTTTTTAGTTTGTTTCGATATCAAGATCATTGTTGAGTTTATTTTTCCAATCAAAATTTTTGAAAAATGAATTTAGATCTTCGTAATTGCCTCTTTTGTAGACAAATTTTTCGGTTGAGTATTTTTTTGTTAAATTCAAATTGAATGTTAACGATAGATGTGCTTCATTGATATGACCTAAAAAAGCCTACTATAATTACACGGCCGGATATCTTGCTTTTCGCAGCGAAAAGTTAAAAGGGTAACTTTTCAAAACATAAATATATCGTATAGCATGATTGGCTTACTGCAATTAAAACTAAAATCTTTATACGGATTTTTGTTTACAGAAGTGTGTATATAATATAAAATTTGTTTGACAAATATAACTTAAGTCTCAAAAATTAGACATTTTCCTTAGCCTGATGATAATGTTTCTAAAAACTTAAGAATAAGAGAATATTGTATTGTACTTTGTTCATCAATATAAAATTATAATAATTTTGTTAATAATAAAATATTTAAATTTGTAATGACTACTAATTTAAAGATGTATCTCATATTGTATGTATATATATATATATATATATATATATATATATATATATATATATATATATATATATATATATATATATATATATATATATATATATATATATATATATATATATTTCTCATAATAAAATCTCAATATTGTTAACAAGATATATAAAATGATAAACAAAAACCAAACAATAAAGGAAGAGTATACATTAAAAGTATAATAGTTCAGCTGTATATTTTAGCATTAGCTACTTCAATTCAGTTCAGCTTAATTGATTATTAATTTAACTAAACTCAGCTTTAATCTTTTTTCTTTATCTGCATATCTGCAAATTTCATTAAAAAAGTGTTTTTGTTCATTGTTAAAAGAAATATTTACAACAATGCGATTTACAAATTTTACACCAATAATTTGATGTTCATCGCATAAAAACGAAGAAGCACAATCATTTAATCTAAGTACCCGTTCTGCAGCATATTGATCAAAGTTGAGTCTGTTATAAGCAAAATGGCAGTATCTAATATTGCAAATGCTTTGGCAATATAATGTGTAAGGCCAATAGCTGGTAAAATCAATCCACCACGAGAAAGTTTTTCTAAATATTGACATTGTAGCTCACAAGATTCAGCAAATAGAAAAGTTTTGCAAACACCACATTTGATCATTTTATTAAACTTTTTAACAACATAACCAGAAATAACTGTAGCAACTTCAAAGCTCTCTGAATCTAAAATGCATTCAATATTTGGTAAAATTTCTTGCAATTTATCATTAAATAATTTAAGTAAAGATATATCACAACTCTCTTTTCTAACATTTTCCTCCCCGATATTGACTGACTCTTTAAATAAAATTTTCAAAGCTAATATGTACTCAAGTTCACGCAAACCAATTAAAAATCTGCCACCACTCATTTGACAAGACTTTGAAAATCTTAGTTCTAATGGATCAGTTTGCAAGCGTGATACTAAAAAAAATGATACCCTTTCTAAATTAAATCATCAATAAGTGAAGCTGTGCATCTTAAAGTGGTCCTTAACGCTTCTGATGTTTGTTTACTTAATGTAAAGTTTTTAGAGTTTGAAACTTGAGATAATTGCCAACTCTCAATCCATTTGGCTAGTTACCTCAAAAATAAAAGTTTCATGTCACCCATAACAGCTGCATTTTCAATACAAAAATTTTTGTTATATTTTTGCTTACTGTTACTTATCGTCCACCATATATTTATCAGCTTTAAAAAGCTTGAGGCATCAGTCCTATCTGGAAAATAACTTTCAATAGCTGCAGAAGTTGTAGGATCAATTATTGCAAGAGCAAGTGGTACACTTTGCTTATTATCTCCTGTTTATTATCTCCTGAAGTGATTTATAAGATAATTTGAAACCTTTTTTTAACTTTGACTGAAGTAATTGGTCTTTATCATATACATCATGAAGTAGCTTTCATGATATTTCACCAGCATGTACATCAATAACATCAAGAAACTGATCAAAATGAAAAGCAAGGAATATAAAACGTTTAGAATTCAGTAAATTGTTTCCCATTAAATATTTTAAGTTCAAGGCTAAAATTATTTAAATCATTTAAACATTGAATTTTTTCTTTTTCTATAAATATACTGGATTTATCCTGATTGTTTAATGGATGGCGGACAGACGGTGGCTTTCTAGATTTCGATGTAGTTAAATATACTGATGGTGGTATTTTTTCAGCTAAGCAATAAATAGTTGCAACGAGATTTAAATCCCAAACTAATGTTACTCTTTTGCAAATTTAAAATATTTTTTTTCAAAATGTTTAGCACAAATAGCCGAATTCTTACTGGGCTTCCATAACTTTTGATTGACAAATGCTTTGATTCATTGTCCAATTCTGTTCTTATTTAAGTTATCGTTTAATAGTGGTAAAATACCGGAATTATGGAGACTAGCAAATGTTACGCCAATTCATAAGAGTGGATGTCATTCGGATGTTTTAAATTACAGAC